CTCTGTTTTTCAAACGTTTCATCATTTGTTGCTAAATCACGTTCTTCTGCTTCCAGCTCTCAGTGTCAAAGTTTTGGATGAATAAAGCCTAGCTTTCGGGCCCTCAGTATTTTCCATTGTCATTCTGATTGTCGTTGCACTCCGACCCTCGTCGTACACAACACAGTCGTTCGCGGTAGGCTAAGCAGAGATTTCTTCTGTCCTTTCTTCTTTCCACTATAGGACCTTATTCAAATAGATTGATGACTATACGCTTTCGTCGCTAGTATTGCTACCAATGCCGGTACTGAGGATGAAATTCGTTTAACCTATCTCCTCCAAACGTAACTGGCTGAGTACTCAGCCTCGCTTATTCATGTGATCTGTATGCTATTAGGGAGGAGACCTGGTGATGGCCTTTCGTATTTTCAGGTGCCTACACTTCTAAGCGCTCAGTGAGTCTGGAAACTGACAACACGAACACCACTAATACCGATCAACCATTTCTTGCAATGTCTTCAGCCAGGTGGAGGCGACAGGGGGACTCCATCCTGGAAGGCGCAGTGCAAGTCCCCTCCAAGGACCACTGTGAAGATCTGAAGTACGCAGACGGAAGCGGGCTCTCTCAGGATCCATCGGGTACAAAATGCACTACATACTATCGCCGTGCGATTCGATGCGCGCTTTATTCCCTCCAAGTGCGAAGTGATCTTGTAAGATGGAGTAGGTCAGTTGTTCAATCAGAACCAGATAAGATGGACAGACTAACTTACCTGCGTACTGGCATCACGCCAGACGCCTGCAACACCGACGGAAGGGTCATCAGAGCTCAGCCTAACTTTGTCCATGGTAATCACCGAGGCTGGCTTAGATTACATTAGCCTGTTCAAGGACTCTAGTGTTCACTGAACCGAGTGAGTGTGACCTCCCCGGGCTTGTTTCCACCCTTACCGTGGTTATGCGAAAAGAATCTTCTGAAGTGGTCAGTTGACTGGCAGACGAAGCGTGTGGCCAAGGCAGTGCAATTTATGGAATGTGATCAGTTCATCCATCGTGTGTAAGTTATTTCTTCCAAAAACCATTCGATGTACTTCAGCATTGCTGTTCCTAATAGGCTCGGACAATGCTCCGAAGACATCGATGGTCAAACACTGAAAGTTCTTGGCGCGCAGCGACCAGGTTTGACCCGCGTAGTAAAAATAGTATAGTATAGCAGCATTGTAAACTCGACATTTAACGGATAAGACTATGTCGCTCCTACGCCATATGTGATGCAGGTTCACTAAAGCTACTCTGGCCTTTCCAAAAGGTGGAAATATCATCTTAGGCGAGGCCGTCGGTACTGATGTAGCCGCCCAAGTAGACAAACTTGTCCACTACATCAATCGGCTCATCCACAAGCACGAGGTTAGGGTTCGAGGCCACCTAGTCTTGTAACAACCCTTTACACTCTGCAGTTGTGAAGCACATGCCAAACCGTGAGGTAAGAGTACGTCACTCCAAGAGCTGTGTCGTCTGCGTACGCGATATCTGTGAACTAATACCTCGGGAGTACTTCGACCCCACAGGCATTAGAGGCTGATAAAGTGTGCTTCACAATCATATCGATGTCGAAGTTGAAGAGGAAAGGTGAAAGACAGCCTTACCTGACACTACTTGGTGAACTCGAGCTTCCCATAAGAATTCACACGTTCGCGGGAGTTAGCTTGAAGGGGGGTCAAGAACTTATAGGACACAATTGCACCATAGATGCTTCATTGTCCAGAGAGTCAAGGGCAGTTTTCAAGTTAAGGAACACAACTATCGTTGGTTACTGGAAGCAACGTTGGAGGGTTGAAATGTGGTCGGTGCATCCCCTTGCAGGACGGAACCCAGCGTGGTTTTCTCGTGGTGTTCAGTCAACCTTCGAAGGATAAGACCAAAGAGCATCTTTAATGCCAGGGCTACCGAGCTGACGCCTCGGGAGTTTGCACACAGCGTCCGCGTACCCTTTTAGAAGACATGAATAACTGTCGACATGCCCTATTCTGCAGGCACTTTATCTTCTATCTATATCGCACCAATAAGCTTTGTTAGATGGGTCACCAGGGATGTTCCGCTTCTTCGAACAGGGTTGGATACAGATTGTCCGGTCCTGGTATCTTTCCACGTTTCAGCATGGACGTTTCATACTTTATTCCCCTTTCCGACGGGCGCTTGAGGTTCACATTTCATTCGCCCGTATGCACTACCTCCACAGGCTGTTGCACGTGGTCAACCGAACTGTTCTTCGAAATCAACGTTTTTGCGGGTGTATTAATGAGCCATCCTATTTACCTACTGTTTCGCTGGACGTTGCTTTCTTAGGGCCAGTCGATCGTATAAGTCGATACAAGTCGTTACGGGACTGTTTCCCATAACGAAAGCTTTCTCCATCTCTCGTGCTTTCGATGTCCACCAGAGACAGTGGTATTTTCTTAGACTCTTCACTATTTGGCATTTGAGGGATTTGCGCGCGACATCGTACTTGGTGCCTGCTGTTATGGATTTCCTGGCATCAATCATGGATGGCGGTCTCGATTCCAGGAAGTCGGACAGAGTGCTGAACGCCGCTAGCACAGCTTTCACATTTTACTATGCTTCATCCACATGCTCACTACCAATATAGTATCGGTTTGCTGTGGAGAGTTTTCGGGCTCATCATTATCATCGGCATGACATCGGCGATCAACACCGACCCTTCATTACCGTTGGGCCAGCTCAGATCGATACTGTTGAGCTATGGTAGTTCGCCGCACAACTGCGTGAAGGGTGGAAGCGAGCCAGGGAGATCAAACAATGACTTGGCAGCGAAGAATAAAAGTCCTTGTCAGTAAACTCAGCTGCGCTGAACACTGCCGTCTGCCTAGATGGGTACCCCGAGACGGGACACAACAACGGTTACAGACAGTCAGACACGGTCTAGTCGCGCCCTCAGTGGCGCTCGTACAACCAAGCTATTGATTCAATGTATAGCCCTTCTCCTAAACTCCCCACTTAAAATTTCGCTGATGACCCTGTATTTTTTGGATCAACTGTCACCTCCCGCCTCCAATGCGCAGCTACTTACCCCAGCTCCCTAATCAGTGAACGAAACTACGGCAGATATAACCACATGAAAAGTGCGCGTTTCTCACAGCTGATAATAAGTTGGCTGGAAACACCAGATCAAAGACGCTGGAAAAATGAGAGGGCGAAAGTGTAGCGGACCCAACGGACAGGATTAGATCAGGGGTTGGATGGAAAACGTTAGCTACACGCGTAGAGACTGACGAGTTGGACGTTGATGCGTTAGGCAAACGTATCGTTAGTGGTGGTAAAGATGGCGTTCCGTGAAGCAATGGTAGATACATAATGGTCCTCGAAGCGTATTAAACAGCGTTTGCAGAGGAAAACCAGGGCTGTCGACAGACAAGATGCTTTGTCTGCCTCACTACGCCCCCCTCCATACTTTCACTGAAGACAACGGCCCAGTAAAGTTTGCCGCAACTATTGTTCCCTTTTCGACCAATTGATCAAAATTAGGTTGGGTTTTGATGGGATCACTCGATTTCAATCATCTGGAATAGCGTAATGGTGAAACAGTTGGTCCCATAATTTCGGGCTTGGTCGTACGTATTGCACCGTCACCGACAATATGCCAGTAATGCCCACTCGCGCTTAATTGTATACAGCCAAGAGGAAAGCCGAAACAAAGGGTGGAAATAAAAAGGAAAAGTAGGGAACTAGTATGAAGCTCCATTAACGTAGGAAAAAAATTTCAAGCGTAGGGTACCTATACAACGTCATGTGGGATTCAGGCGCCATCAGAGGGACTGGTCCGGCATCCCATGTGAGCCTCAGTCGATACAAACTCACCACACGACTTAGTTAACTTACATCAAGGGAGACAGGTATCGCCGAGCACCCGATTGCTCCCAGAGGCAGTGGAGTCAAGTATTCATCTCTGGCTTAAATCGTACTTTGCTAAGGAGACATGAGTAGGACTGTTTACACCGGAGAACGAATGCGGCGGAACGTTCTCAATTTCTTTAACGTAGACGCCGTCCGGGCTCGGATTACCACAATATCATTTATATCCACCGGAAATGTCACACGCTTAGAGCTTAGGTAGGCAGGTATTTGCCAATAAATCAACCTCGAGAGCTGTACAAACCTCATGTCAAGATGGTATGATGTCGGCGTAATACGCTACAAGAGTCTGAAAGTTATTATTTAGTGACCGTATCTTGTGAGAGAATTTAGCAGCTCATGTGACAAGCTGAGAAAGATGAATGAACTAGTAACAGCTCAACCTAGACACCCTCAGGCCAGTATACCGTGGCACTAAGAGATGTTAGTCAGGAAATGCAGGATGACTCAGATTATACCAAAATTAACTTACTGTCCGCCATGTTGTTTGCTTTTACCACCTCAGCAGCTCGGTCAATAATGTTGGAACATTCAATCTAACGCGTAGTTAAGATTTGCTGTGAGACTCACTCCAATGGCATGTCTCGCACCGGCTTTGATGGCAAACAAGCAGAGAATGCCTGTCCCGCAGCCAACATCAAGGACAACCTTATCCTTAACCAAATGCTTGTTATGTACGAGGGCATTTCTGTAGGTTAAAGTCCGGGTCTCATCTTTCAACATTTCCTAGGGAGGGCGTGAAAACATTGCGTATAGTACCTCATGGATCCCGAAATGTGCATAGGAATCAAAATAATAATCCTTCGATGTCATTTCAGACGAGGACCGTTCCTCCAAATCACCTGATGGCCCACCATTTACACAATCCATGATACAGAGAAGCTCACAGCCGCGAGACGGTGACAGACGAAAAAGCACGCCCAACAGTGCGTTCGAGGTGCCGCGCCGTCCTAAAAGCGGTAAAACACACACACCCTCAGTGCAACAGTGGCAAAGGTTATATTTTTGGAGTTCTCTAACCGAAACAGCTTGCGGAATTATTCACCCGGATACTGCGTCTGTACGGTGGAGGACGAGACGACCTGCTAACCTGGTCAGCTTGGCGGGTGCGTACGCGAGATTACCGTTCTCTCAGCAACGCTACTATCCCAGACAGGTATCCCATTCCACATATCCACGATTTCGCAAGTACCCTATGCCATACAAACATCTTTCACGGATTCACGGATTGATACACAGGATCGAGGCTATTGCCCAAGTCTCCCTGGTCGGTTTTGTTCTTGTCGGTCAGTGGCTGTCGTTCACCTGAAAGGCACAAGTGAAAAAAGGGTGTAGCACTGCTCTTTATGTTCTCAGCGCGGGGCAGTATGCTTGCCAGCGCGAGGATTCGCATAAATAAATGTCTAATAGTAAATTGAATTGGGTTCGAGAAGGAGCGTGTACAACCGTCGGAGGAATTTCATGACCTACCAGGTCTTATATAGTAAATTAACTTTGAATTCGGTTTTTCTGTTTTCTGGTGTCGCTGCGGAATTTTTCCCGTGAGTTTCGTTAGGGTCTTAAACCTTCCACTTGCTTTTAGGCGCCCCTCCAAGCTACGGTCTAGTTGCGACCTGCAAGATGCTTGTGCCCTACATTATGACTTCCACGCGCGTACGCAGTAGCAGTGAAAATGCAGTTACACAAACTTACTTATTGTAAGAGGTTTTTCGGTTCCTAACACTGTGCCCCATATCACAATCCTTGTGTCCCATTGTGTTCTGCATACGGGGTGCTGTTAAAGCCTCCGTGTGTCCCAGCTTAGGCAAAGGCTTGCATTCTACGGCGTCCGCTTGGGACATATTCAAGCTGCTCGTTTGCTCTGATTCATATAACGGTTTAGTTCATCTCTACCAAACATATATGAGCTATTTTTTAATTCGCGTTGCATCTGTGTTATCTTGCTCGGGGTTATTTGTTTACTGGCTTTCGATGGCTTATGTTCACTTCTGGGGCCGGTGGTATGGTTACTCGTGAGAGAGGCTGTACAGCACTCAAAGACTTCCTGTTTTACTAAAAGATGCTAGTATGGACGTGGCAGTTCTAACGGCCTAACTACTACTGAACGTGGTTGTGACAATGCTCCATAAACAGAGTGAAAGCGCGCTTGGATCAATAAATAGGGAGGAGAAAACAGTGGGTGAGAAAGGTTCCTGCTTTTGATCACTCCTCGTTTCGGACAAATCAAATCGTGAGGCTCCAAGGGGCCACATTTTCAGGATTGCTGTTTCGGAAACGTTTTTAGACGGGATAGCACCCCTGAAGCACATTTCGGTTGTGCCTGCAAATGACAAGGTAGCGGTCTGGGTAGCAAGCACTGGGCGTAATCCACATAAAGCTGGAGGATATCATGGTGCATTTGTCACCTCCCTTATCGATGTCCCAATCATGTGGTCTATGGTCGCGGAAAACAAAAGGCTCGGCTAATGTGCCGATATTATGATTCATAACCATGTTTGCCGCTATTGATTTGCGAGATCAGCCGGGCTGGGTGGATGACGGACTAGGGATTGAATCTAGAATGTGACGGCAGTGGAGGTTTTCGCACATGTCGTTTTGGAATGGTACAATCAAGTCGGTTGTGTCGCATTCTAAACAGTTAGTTTTTCATCTACCTAAGCATTAAGATTTCTGCACACTGATCAGTGGAAGCTAGTCTGGCTCACTTAGATTTAGTGACTATATTATCTTAGAGGCGGAGCAGCGACGCATGGATTATGAGACCGTTCGTCGACCGGACCTGGTCAGTGAATAAGGCTGTGCAGCTCAGAAAAATTCTGTCATTTCTCCATGTCGGACTTGGATGGGGCCACGGAATTTTCGATTCGCCTTGGGACACTGTCATCCGTAGCAGCCGCGATAGAAACCATAGAATACCTCATTCCTTGAATTGAATGATGCAGCAAATAGGGAGAACAACACTGTCATTGAAGACCGTGTTAAAAGTAGCTTGTCTTCGTACCTGTCTTAGTGTAACGGGAGGGCATTCTCAACTTTGGAAAAGGAGTCAGCCATGCTTTTGAGATATTTACCAACTGCGCTGTGTGGTATAAATGTGTTCTGAAAGAGAATAGATGGGGCGTTACCACCACCGCATGCATTCGGATTGGGAGTACGTACCTTGTTGAGGGCCCTGTAGGAAACTATGAGTTGCAAATACGTTCAAAAATCAGGGTCATCAAAATGAAATTTTTTCGAAAATCCACGATACTACGTAAGCGAGTAACAAAACAGACCTCAACTGTGCACTTTGATGCTTGTATCTATTTCATACATGCATTTTTGTACACGCAGAACCAAAATTTACCTGTAAGTCGAAACGGTTCACAATTCTGAGCTTAAAGTTCTGCGCTGCGCCCAGTTTCACCATTCCAAGTACATCACAAATTCTATACCAATAAACTGCGCAAGTTAGATATTAGGTGCTTACACCCATCTAGTGTCTCTCAGCCTGCCCCAAGAGAGAATGGGTGGTTTGTGCGGGGCACAGTGCACCTTCGGAAGTCTTCTGCGACTGTCAAAAATTTTGGAAAAAATTTCTTTATATTACAACAATGGAATGCCTCCGCATATCCTATTGAATAGAGACATTGTTGAACAAACCAGCAGGCATATTCCAATTATTCCCTGGTACTCACCCGTTGACACATGTACATTTATCGACTGCTTGGGTCTCAAGTCATCCAAAGCCCAATTATTGTGTAAACTCGATCATATAACATAACGATTACATGTCTTCTAGGTGAGCCACACGTGTGTAGTTTTGATACGGGAATATTCAGGCAACCGACCGTATCAATGGCCGCTACCTTCCAGCGGAGTGTGGCCTCTACAAAACCAAAAACGAATGGTGTTGTCAGTAGACATTTGAACGCTGAACCAACGCTATTATTTTTATTTGAGCTTGCTACAAATATTGTTCATTTCAACTGAAAGTGCTCGTGGAATGGCGGTGATACAAGTCCAAACTTTTGGGCCCGCTGAAATCGGAAAAAAGTATAAAAAATTGGTTCGCCCCGAAACACAATTTTGAGGTTAAATTCGGTTATGGTCAATTTTTGGCAAAACCGTTCTCAAATTATATATTCTTCGGCCTGGCTTCCACAGTCATTGATTTATTGCAAAAATTCACGGACGTTTATTATGTTCACCAACACCGCTGAACTTGCCGTGTACTTACAATAATAATAATGTTTATTCCCAACTTGTGGTGGCATACCGTCTGGCATGATCGTAGATTTACAGTCAGAATGGAGCATGACTTAGGGATTTGTGGGGGCGCGGATTACACAGAAAGAGGAAAACGTCATAAACAATGGGGAACATCCGATGATATAGCAATAACAGGTTATCGCACAACTTGTTGGGCAAAATGGGCATGAGGTTAGACTGGATCAAAGACAGTCAGTGGCATGAACTAAAACTGAAAACCATTGCTGGCCAGGAGTGACCTTGGGTGGTTAGGTAAATGGCCGGAGTCACAACGAGCAAAAGTGGAGATGGAGGTGGGATAATTCAAATTGGGAGCACATGACAAGTTTCGTCTCAAAAATGTGATTTAATCTGAAAGTACGCAGACCCACTGGTTGCACTGTTGTAGGGATACCAGGTGCAGGGGAATAGGTTGGATGGGGGCAAGTTGCCAACATGTAGGGCGACCTGAGCTCCGTATACGGATTTGAACTTGTGCAACAGGCAAGTCGAAGTTGCAGCAGGAAAGCCAGGCTAGCGAAATCTGAGCGAAAATTTATTGGGTACGGAAGAGCTCATCCCAGAGACATGGCCGGATGGGAACTGCTGGAAGTTGTGGCTACAGGCTTGAGTGGGCGAGGGGTTGCGGTCGAGATTCTGAAGAAAATAGTTGCGAGAGTGCCATCTCACTGGGTATGACAGTGCCATGCCATCATCGCACTGACATGCTTCGGTTTCTGGACAACCCCGTAACGGTAGTCAAGGTTCGGAGAAGGGATACGCAGTTCCGTGGTGAGACGGAGACGGACGCAGGGAGTCATGCAGATGTAGGCTCACGGATAATTTCCCTTTTGTTAGAGGACCGTGTGGGTGTAGACCGGGCACAAGCAAGTTTGTCGTCCGCTTGTATTTCTTGGTGGTGTGGGACAAGTGATAACCGGAACAAGGTCAATCCAGCTACAGACAAACAGCAACGCTGCTCTTTTTTTGGTTTTCCTGGATTAAAGGCCAGGCTCAGAACCACCGGCGATGGGCGATACACACGTGCTACTGGAGGGGTGGCGAGTATACGAACGCACCATGGTGCAACGTAACACGGCGACCCTCCCTGCAGGGCGTACCCGTCCACCACACGGGGTTTTCATCCCTCGTGCATGCTACCAGATCTGCAAGGTGGAAAACCATCCAAGCAGTCATGAGTGCGGCTTGTGCATTAATAAATAGCTCCAGCTACCAGATATTTTATCCGGTCTGGGGAAGCCTGGCCAGCAAAACAGCTCAGTCATTTCGAACAAGCGAACAGCAAACAGCCACTGGAAGAGGCACGTCGCGAGAGCAAATGAAACATCAACTACCTTTAGGGCAATGGGAGTTACCCATATGGAATCTGATATTTTTATGGAAATGCCATGCATGTATCACACAAAGACACGAATAGACCTGTACATTTAGACGTAGAACACGACCGCCCTTCAATTGCGCATCAAGCTACGATGAACTGCGTATTGCCGGCCAGAGTAGATGGCGTGGCTACACGTCCGTCATAGAAAGTTGAGTTGATCCGCCTCAAATGGGACAGGATTCTGGGGGCTTTCCAGAGCACTACTTATCAAATTCGCAAATTTTCTCCACGAAAGACG